AGACTACCTCAGTATTCCCCTGGTACATACTTACAGAATGTTAAGAGAGCTAGAAGGTGGCTTCCAGGTCATTGGGTGGATCCTTTGTGGGTGACAGAGACAGGGATCTATATGGGGTAAGAAGGTATAGAGGAACGTGACATGAACTGACAGAACAGACACCCCTACACTGATGATATCTGATCCAGCAAGTACTTCTTAGACTTGTGTTATGTGTAAGGCACTGTGCCAGAAGGAGAGGATTCAAAGCAACGTCAAAAGAAGTCCCCCACCACCAGGAATTTATGTTCTGTTCGGAGGTGGGGAGGAGTAAAGGCAGGAGACAGAAAGCATGAATGATTTACCATGATATTCTGGATCATTATTTCTCCAAATGAATTTTGTTATTATTTTGTCAGGTTCTGTATAGTATCCCTTGATTGGTATAGATTAAAGTGAAAAATTAACCTTGTTAGGATCATCATTTTTATTACACTGGCATGACCCAGCCATGAGCACCAAATATTACATAAGTTGCCCTTTGTTTCTTTAAGAAGGACTTTGTTGTTGAACCTATACATGTATTTTGTGTGCCTTGGTAGACTGACATTTAGTGCATTTTGTAGTTATGAAATGGCATTTCCCTTCTTGGATTCTGCTTCTTGGATTTTATTGTTATATAGAAATGTGCTCTTTTGCGGGTTTATTTTATAACCTACAACTTTGCTGAATCAATATACTTGATGATTCTCTAGGATTTTCTAGGTAAATCATTATATCACTAGCAAAAGGGAAATGGCTTTTTCTGCTTTTTACCTGTCTTTATGCCTTTTATTTATTTCTCTTGTCTTGCGGGAGCAGTCAGGTGGCTCAGGGAGTAGTATGCTAGACTTGGAGTCAGGAAGACCTGAGATCAAATCTCACCTTAGATGCTCATTAACTGTGTGACACTGGACAAATCACTTTAACCTCTCGGCCTCCATTTCTTAATCTGTACAATGAGGGACGATACTAGCACCTACTTCAAAGGGTTGTTGTGGGGAATCAGAGAGGTAATAAAGCTTTTCACAAATCTTAAAGTATTATATAAATACTAGCTGCTATTAGTACTGTGGTTAATCATCATCATTATTATTATTGTTAGGATTTCTCATTCAAGCTCTATGCCAGTTACATTTCATATTGGTTTTCGTCCATAGCACCCAACCTGTCCTCCTCTTGATGCCTGAAAGATAGGAAGCATTAAAGCTTAGTTGGCCCATTCTTAGGATTTAAGTGGAAAAAATACTGTGTTGATAAAGTCTTTTTTAGAGGTCTTTGTCTCTGCCCTCTTCTACCTCCTTCGCCACCTTCTTTCCAAAATGTTTTTTTAACATTAAATATAATTTTTACAGTAAACATCTATTTCCTTCCTTCCTTCCTTCCTTCCTTCCTTCCTTCCTTCCTTCCTTCCTTCCTTCCTTCCTTCCTTCCTTCCTTCCTTCCTTCCTTCCTTCCTTCCTTCCTTCCTTCTTTCTTTCTTTCTTTCTTTCTTTCTTTCTTTCTTTCTTTCTTTCTTTCTTTCTTTCTTTCTTTCTTTCTTTCTTTCTTTCTTTCTTTCTTTCTTTCTTTCTTTCTTTCTTTCTTTCTTTCTTTCTTTCCCTTCTCCCCTACCCATTGAAGAAAGAAAAACAAAAGCTTTGCAACAAATATGCATAGTCAAGCAAAATGGATTCCCACATTGACCATGTCCAGGAAATGTCTGTCTTCTTCTTGAGTCTGTTACCTCACTGTCTGGAAAGTGGGGAGCATGCTTTATCCTAGGTCCTTTGGAATTGTGATTGGTCACTGCATCTATCAGAGCTCATAAGTGGTTCAAAGTTGTTCGTTTTTACAATATTATTGTTGTTGTATAAATTGTCTTCTTGGTTTTGTTCACTTTACTTTGCATCAGTTCGTGAAAGCCTTCCAAGATTTCTCTAAAAGTATTTTACAGCACAACAGTATTCTATTAAATCATATAACTTAATTTATTCATCAGTTCTCCAGTTGATGTCCTCCTCCTCCCCCGAATTAGTTTCCAGTTCTTTGTTCTGCAAAAAAATCTGCCAAAACGCCTTGCTGTACCTGGATTCTTCTTTTCATTTTAGTGGCCTGTTTGGGGGTATAGCCCATATTGCGCTAACACCACTGGGTCAGTGGGAATGTACAATTTAGTGACTTTGGGGCCATAGTTCCAAACTGCTTTTCAGAATAATTGGATCAGGTCACAGCTTCACCAGCATATCATTTTGAAGATGGAGTTTGTAACTTCCCCAAGTTCTCGGTGGGTCAGATTTGAACCCAGGTTCACTGACTCCAGAGCCAGTCATATCTCCACTGTACCGCACTGCCTCCCTATTTAGAGATGGTGCAAATGTTATCATTTCTGTTGTGTAGATGAAGAGACTGAGGCTTAGAAAGTCTAAGTGATCTGCCTATAGTTAAAGAACTGGAAAGTGTCAGATCATAATCAAAACAAGTTAATAAGCTTTTGTTAAGTGCCTACCGTGTGCCAGGCACTCACTAAGCTCTGGAGATACCCCCCAAAAGGGCAAAAAGTTTGTGTGTCCTCAAGGAACTCATAATCTAAAGGAGAGACAATATTGCAATCAGCTACAGACAAGATACATACAGGATAAATTAGCTGGTAACAAAGAGAAAGCACTAGCATTGCAGAAGACTGGAAAGCTTCTGTAGAAGATAAGATTTTTAGCTGAGGTGTAAAGGAAACCAGGAGGCCAGGGAGGGAGAGAATCCAGGCACGAGGACAGCCAGTGAGAATTCACAGAGTCAGTGTGGGAGGAATTTCAAGGAGACCAGAATCACTGGATCAAAGAGTACATAGGGGGAAGAAAGGTGGAAAAGACTGGGAAGGTAGAAAGGGACCAGTATCTTAGATCTGTAAGATTCACATCCAGGAAAGAGAAAAGGGAGCCCCAGAAACCACAGAATTCCAGAAGCTGGGATTATCCTTAACAGGTTTTATACTTCAACTTTAGGAAGATTTCCCATAAGCAGCCTTCCTAGAGTTACATAATGAATTGAAGGTGCTAAACTAGAATCTTTGAGAACTAAAGTCAAGTTCTTAAAAGTTGTTCGTGATTTTTTATTGTTATTGTCATTGATACCAAGAATTATAATAATAAAAAGTATTCCAGAGAATGAAATTTCATCCCCTCCAATGATCACCATTTCTGGTGTTTTATAGCCTTCACTATTGCAAAGATTTTGGGGGAGAGGTGGGAGGAAGCATCTTAAAGTAATCATAACGAGTCCTTGTGTCCCTTTGCCAAACTGTGCTTGGAAGGCTCTGGAGAAGATCTCTTGGCGTCCCTGGGAGACAGTTTCCTGTGCTGTGCCTAAATGTGTCTAATAGAAGCTTAGGTCCATTTTGGTCCTGTAACCTGTGGGCAAGGCTGTGGTCTCTCCTCTCTGTCTCCCTGGCCCCTACTCTGCCTCTAAAAATAGCTCTGCTATTTAAAAACCATCTCTTCCAAAGCATTGTTTTCTTACTTTCTTGGACCAGTTAGCTCTTCTGAGTCTGGGAGCTTTGCCTGCCTAATCCTAATTTTCCGTGTTCTGCCTAATTGGTCTCTACCCTTCCTGTCTCCCCTGGGGCATTGTCTTCCAGCTAGAAACAGGGGAAAAGAGCCAGGTTCTGATTCTTCTTCAGGTGAAGCAAGGTGATTTCTCTTTCTTGCCACTTGAGAATAAAAGAAATGGAGTAAAATGCTATCCACATCCAGAGAAAGAACTGTGGAGTTTGAATGCAGATTGAAGCATACTATTTGTTCTTTTTTTTCCCTTCTGTTTTGTTTTGTTTCCTCTTTCTGGTGGTTGATTCCTCCTGTTGGTTCTAATTCTTCCTTACAACAATACTAATGTGAAAATATGTTTAATAGGAATGTATATGTAGAGCCTATAGCAGATTTTGTGCCATCTTGGGAAGGGAGGGGTAGAAAATTTAAAACTCAAAAGCTTTTGGAAGTGATTGTTGAAAACTAAAAATAAGTTTTTATCCACACACACACAGAAATGGAGTAAATAGAGCCGTGGGGGACTTGGTATGTTTAAGTGTCCCAAATTCGGTGCTTTCCTTCCATAATATAAACTATGAGGTTATTAAACTCTTGCGGTTCTTGAGGGAGATGTAATTAATATAGATATAGTAAAATTTAGGTGGTTGAAAGTAAATTGATGTCAGTGATTTAAAAAAAACAAAGAGGCCCTGTGTGTACAAAAAATTTATAGCAGCACTTTTTTTAGTAGAAAAGGACTGGAAACAAAGCAAATGCCCATCAGTTGTGGAATGGCTAAACAATTTGTGGACGACAAAAGTAATTGAATATTATTGAGCTAGAAGAAATGTTGAATATGATACATACAGGGGAACTTTTATGAACTGATGAAAAGTTAAAGTAGTTAGAACCAGGAAAACAATACCACACGATGATAACAGCAATATAAATTTTTTAAAAAAATTGAATGCTATGAGATTATAAGGATTAAGCTTGGCTCTGAAGAAGAGATGTAAGAGAGAACCTCCCTTTTTTCTTTGTGGAGGTGACTATGAGCACATCATGTCAGACTTTATTGATTTGTTGGTCACCTTTTCTGAACTTTGTTGTTCTTTTTCCTGAAAGAATTACTATCTGGGAAGGGGAGAGAGGAGAAGATTACACTGAGGCATGAAGGTGATATAAAAACAAAAGTTAACAGTAAAATTTTATTTAAAAAAAAAATAAGGGGCAGCTAGGTGCTACAGTGGATAGAACCCCGGCCCTGGAGTCAGGAGGACTTGAGTTCAAATCCAGCCTCAGACACAAAACACTCACTAGCTGTGACCCTTGGCAAGTCACTGAACTCCATTGCCTAGCAAAAAAACCAAAACCAAACAAACAAAAAAAGCTACCTTGACATGGTATTTGTATTTGTTGCCTTATCATGTATCCTCTGTTCCTTCCTGTGAATAATCTGTTGCATTTTTCTCTTCCTTGTAGCCTACAACACTTCCTCAGGGCACCATCAACATGAACCAGTGCACAGATGTGGTGGATGGAGAGGGCCGCACCGGCCAAAAGTTCTCTTTGTGTATTCTGACGCCTGAAAAGGAGCACTTCATCCGGGCAGAGAACAAAGAGATCATCAGTGGGTAAGTGTTGTCTGAGTTGTGGAAAGGGCTTCTGAAAATACAGCTTTACCCTGGGACGCTGAGCTTGGATGCCCTGCAGGAGGCCGTGTGGTCACCTTCATGGGTACGAATGTTTAGACTCTGTCAAGCATGTAGGATCAGGTATCATTGGGCATTAACTATTAAGGATTAGCGGTCTGGCCAATCCACCTAAGTCCTGAGTTGAAAGTCTACCTTGTATAAATATGACCCAAAGTTTTCTCCACTTATTGACTGTGGAGAAACATGAGCTGTGAGTAGGGGGAGCACAGAGGGTCTCTGGGATCACCAGGCATCTCTATCCTTCAAGAGTGTTAACTGTCCAGGAAGTCTAATGATGATGATGATGATAATGGTTAAGGGGATGATTTGTTCATACTTTGTGGGAACTTCCACAGTCAAAACTCCCTATTTCAATGTCTGTTGGCGCCGGGTCTGCAACTTCAAATTCCCTGAGGGGCTGAGAGGTTAAAGGACTTGGCTAGTATGTGCCAAGGGGCAGGGCTTGAATCATGGCCTTCTTGATCCCATGGTTGACCCTGTATCTATTATGCCAAATTGCCCTGTCCCTTTCCCTTTCCCATTTACTTCTCTCCACTAAGCCGTGTTGACTTGAATATACAGTGCATGAATTTGTTAACTACAGTATATATCATCAACCCAGAGTTTTTTAAGGTTGTTACAAAGGACTTTACATCTTTCTTGCCTTTTAACCTTGTAAGAATCACGTTATGAGAAAGATGGTGAGAGATATTATCTCCATTTTACAGATGAAACAAAGTTTAATGAAGTTGACTTGCCTTCTATTTTCAGCATTAAGCATATATTGGATTCCTACTATGTGCAAGGTTCTGAGATATAAAGAAGCAGAAGACATGCTATGTCCCCTTAAGGGACAGATTAGTGATTTTGGGCTGGTAAGGGGAGAGATTACTGCATGTTGAAGCAGTTCAGACCTTTATGAAGGAGTTAGAACTAAACCTCAGTCTTGAAGTTAGCCTGCCCTGATCAGAGGGGACAAGGTGGGGCATCTACAAGGCATTGTGGTTTTTATGGAAAAGAACACAGGACCCTTGGAATCAGGAGATGTAGTTTCCAAACTCAGCTCTGTCACATACTTTGTTGGTTTTTGGTGAGGCAATTGGGGTTAAGTGACTTGCCCAGGGTCATACAACTATTAAGTGTCAAGTGTCTGGGGTCCTCCTGACTCCAAGGCTGGACCTCTATCCACTGCATCACCTAGCTGCCCCTATCACATACTTGTTGTAAGATGTTGAGAAAGTTATTCAAACTCTGCACCTCCATTGTCTTGTCTCTACAATGACAAGGTTGGACCAACTCTCCAAGGCTGGAAGGGCCCTTCCAGGTCTAACATTTTGTGGTCATATCCCAAGCAGGAAGGTGTCACCAAGACCAAGGAGGCATGTATATGTGTATGCCTCATCTCCTTAGTTATAGATTGTTAGCTCTTGGAGGTCAGGGAATGTATTTTACACGTAGAGTACCTCTGTTGGGAACTACCTTGACAACACCCGAAGGGTGCAAGTTGGGAACCAAGTCTTCCCCTACGCATATTTCCAGGACCCTGCTGACCTTATGGTTGGCTTCCTGAGCCTCCATTGGCTCAGAGGTGAGTGCAAAAAGATTTCCAGCTCAGTTGACTTTGGTATGCATTTCTGTAAGTGCCGGGTGCCTCTACAAGGCTGTGGAAGCACAGAGATAAGAACAAACACAGACATTTTCCTCAGAGAACTTATATTGTACTGAGGAGAAACAACACAGATAAATAAATATGAAATGTCTACATAGTGAATCTGAGGAAATTTCAGGGGAGGGGCAGGGAGAACCTTAGGAACTGTGTGAGGGATGTCTGTCAGAAGAGACTTTCAAAGGCTTAAGCCTAAGTCTTAGCAAAAACTAACTTGGGATCTTCTTTGGGTGGGAACATTGATAAGTGCAGAGCCTTGTGATGGGGTACTACAAAAGGAGAAGGTCATGCATAGTATTTTTGGTCGAAGGGAGGAAGTAGGGCCAACATACTTAAAACATACATAAGAACCTACAAGACCAGAACAGAAACATCTTAGGGGAAGAGGACCTGAAGTGCTCCTGTGGTACCTCACCAGGGCATGGAGGGGACCCAGGAATCTCAAAGGCTGTGCCCTCGGAGTGTGGGCTCTGACAGGTTCCATCAAGCCTTCCAGGATGAGGTGGGGGAGGGACTACCTGTCCTTGGTTTCATGAACAGCCCAATCACAGGCAAACACCAATTTGGCCACAGGGGGATGGATTGATTTTAGGGGTACAGACACTATTAAGGTAGCTTACCAGATTGCAGAGGAGCTGTGGTCTTCATTGGCAGAGAGAGAATCTCCCTGTGTTTATGAATTGTATACAGAGCTGTCTATTCATAATAAGTTCTGTAGGCTGTCAGAGTAAATAAGCTAATTGGCAGCATGGGGTTAGTCTGGGAAAGCTTCATGGGGGAGGTGATTGTAGAAGTCAGGGAGGGAAAGGCATAGTTTGACTGAGAAAACAAGAGACTTTGGTAAGGAAATAATGAGAGTCAACATCAGAGGACATTTTCTTACTCCGTTGTTACATGTTGGCTTATGTTTGGCCTGTACTGTACAGTCTAAGACCTAGTTTCTTTTGGGGAGGGGGCAGGTTATGCATAATGCATCCACCTAACTCAGAACTTTGAAATTTAGGAAGAAAAACCTATTGGAACTGATCTGAGGGAGAAATGGTGGGATGTACCACTCTATTTTACTTTAAATTTAGTTCTCTTCAGTCCTCTGAGATGAGAGGAGAGGTTGTAGGACATGTTCTTGCCCCTCTGACTTTTCAAAGGCTACTCTCAGTCTGTGATAGCTAAAGAGCTAAGTGAAGACCTTTACCTTATTTTAAAGTCAGAGCTGGAATTAGATTAGAAATCATCTAATCCAACACCCTCATTTTATTTTATTACATTCTTTAGTAATGCATTTTTAATGACATAATCACTTCCCAGTAATTCCCCTCAGTATCCTCCTTCATAAAAACAAAACAAAAAAGTTAAACAAAATGAATCAATACAGCAACTTCAACCAGTAGGGGGTTTATAACATTATGCATACATTGTCCACCACTTTTCTTCTAAGAGTAGCCAGTGTATTCTGACATCATTTCTCAGGAACCAACATGTCAGCCCCTTAATTTGCAGCTAGATTGCAGAGTGGCTAGAGTGGTAGGTCTGGAATTGGGAAGACCTCAGTTCAAATGTGGCCTCAGACACTTAATAGCTTTGTGACCCTGAGCAAGTCACTTAACCTCTGTTCACCTCAGCTTCCTCATCTGTAAAATGAGAGGGGAGTAATAATAACATTTATCTCCCAATGTTGTTGGGAAGATAAAATAAAATAATAATTACAAAGTGCTTAGCAATGTACCTAGCCCATAGTAAAAGCTATATAAATGTTAACTATTATTAATTTTAGAAAAGACAGTATAGTTGAAAGGCACTGAAATTGGAATCAAAAAGCTAGATTTCAGCCTCAGATTTTACCCTTGATTTGTTAGGTGATCTTAGCCAAGACACTCCATTCCTGAGCCTCTATTTCCACATATAAAATGGGGATAATAATAGATACAGTACCCCTGCCCCTTAGCAGGGTTGTGAGGACCAGCTCACATTGGCAGATTCTGTACTTCATCTTTTTAGATGTGTAAAGGGATGTTAATGATATAGTACAACTCCTTCATTTTATACATGAGGAAGCTGGGGCCCAGAAAAGTTAAATGACTTGTCCTAGGTCTCACAAGTCAATCAGTGAGCATTTGTTAAGTTTCTGCTGTATGCTAGACATTATGCTAATAAACACTGGCCACACAAAGTAAAAGAGGCCACCTGCCCTCAAGGAGCTCGCAGTCTAATGGGGAAGATGATACAATATGTAGACAATTCTATACCAATAAACTATATACAGGAGAAATTAGAGAAAACCAACAGAGAAGGTGCTCTCATTGTGGGGGATCAAGAAAAGCTTCCTATAGAAAATCTGATTTTAAGTGAGGCTTGGAGGAAGCCAGGGATGAGGAGGGGATCTCATAGAAGTTGGTATAGATATCCCCATTTTATGAATACAGAGACTCAGTTGCCTTATCCCTTTCTTCGATGTGATTTGGTCTTCAGAGTTCACTTTATCCTCTGGTATCTCAGGGACTTGAGCTGGGAGGAGATCTTAGGAGTCGTGGAAAGGGAAAGTGGACAAGGCCAGGCACGTTTGCATTTTGAGTACCCCCTCAGTGAGGTGTCTGAATTTACTGACTGACATTAGATGAGTGATAAATTTTTAATATTTAAACCCTAGCTGCAGGTGGCTCAGCTCCTCCTGATTAGCAAATAGGGTGCTGCCAAGCAGTTTATGGGCCTCTGAAGGGGCCTCCCGCTGCCCTCTGCAGCCCCTGCCTTTTGTCTCTTTTGTAGCCATAATTGGGAGAGCTCCGTTCAGGAGGTGCAGCAGCGGTCCAGAAGAGTGGTGCGGGGCCCAGAAGCTCTGCCAGGTGTGGAGTCAGAGGCTCACGAGCCTGCCCCAAGTTGCTGGTTCATGAGTTCATTGCCCTTTCTTTTTACCAGGCTCCTTTGCTGGTTTCCATTCGTTTATTTTCCCTTCTCTCCTGGGACCTTGTGAGGAGCTGAGCTTGCTTCCCTTTGGGTGCTGGTAGTTGGGTCACACTCAGGAGGACAGTCTGTGTTCTGAACATGATTTACTTCTTGAAGTTAGTTGATTTGTTGGGGCTACTTTAATGAAAACTATATTATAGTCCTCTGACGTGGAAAAGGACCTGAGTTTTAGGAAAAACATCAAGGGGAATAAGTATTGTGAATTTTTTTTTTAAACCTATTTTAAACAGGAGGGAATAATTTGTCCTCAAATGATGGAGTTGGGCTAAGTGATGTCCGAGGTCAGAGAATCACAGAATTTGTAGGTTGGATGGCA